ATTCAGTTGAGTTCTGTGAAGTTATTTACATAGAGTGATTTCTAAGGCAGTAGTAAATGGAGGTTGTGACATGTTGCATCCATCTACAACAGGCAGACTAGATTTACTCACTTGAAATCAACTGCACTGGGTCAATCAAGGTAAGGAGTAAGGACCAAGTGTCCTCACTCAGAGAGGCACATGGGAATGACATCAGAAGAGGGAGAAAACAGGGAACAGGACAGAAGCCTACCAGAGAGGGCCTCTGAAAGACTCTACCCAGAAGGGTATCAAAGCAGCTGCTGAAATTCATAGCCAAACTTTGCGCAGAGTGCAGGGAGTCTTAGGATAGAAGGGGGAGATAGAAAGGCCTGGAGAGGACAGGAGCTCCACAAGGAGAGCAACAGAACCAAGAAATCTGGGCACAGGGGTCTTTTCTGAGACTGAAACTCCAAATAAGGACCATGCATGGAGATAACCTAGAACCCCTGCACAGATGTAGCCTATGACAGCTCAGTGTTCAAGTGGGTTCCACAGTAATGGGTACAGGGACTGTCTCTGACATGAACTAAATGGCTGGCTCTTTGATCACCTTCTCCTTAGGGTAGAGCAGCCTTAGCAGGCCACAGAGGAAGACAAAGTAGCCACTAATGATCAGACCTGATAAGCTAGGTGAGATGGAAGGGGAAGAGGATCTCACTATCAGTGGACTTGGAGATGGGCAAGGGAGGGGATGAGAGAAGAAGGGTGGGGGTGGGAGGGAATGATGGCTGGGGCTACATTAAAACAAGAGATCCAGCCTCTCTTCAGTTGAGGTCTTGGTCTCTGTATCGGGGCAACCCGCTGCCCTGAGGTCTCGTGTGGGCTAGGAGCATCTGTACAGTGAAGCTCAGGCAGATCAGCCGCCTGATGTTTGGCTCTAGGCTGAGCAGAGCATGAAGAGAGCAGGGAGAAGGGTCCGCAAGTGCAAGTGCAGGGGGCTTTGTTCTGTTTAAAATGAGTTTCAGAAGAGGAAAACCTGAACTAAAGTGAAACAAAAGTAAATTACATATTTCAGACTGATGAATATTTTATATTTAAGATTTTAATTACTGTTTTCAGCCAGAGTTCACAATTGAGAACAAGTGGTTTATAATTACTCCACAAAATATTAAACAATTTGTGATTTGGATATATTGATTCTGCTTATTTATAATAAGCATTATATACTTAAGTCATATCCCAGGTATTGCAGGAAAAACTTTATATTTTACACTGAAAGTGGCATAACTCTCTAAAACAATACACGTCAGAACAGTTACTCAAGGCCTTAAGCTACCAGGATAGTTTTAAATAATGTAAACAGACCACCATAACTTTTAGTCATTGTTGCTAAACCAGTGTCCGTTTTCTAGATGACAAAAATCCTTGTTTTCTACATTAAGTACTTGATTAAAAGTAATAAAACAAAACCCACTTACACCTGTTTGTATTTGTAGGCAAGAGATGGAATCCATGTTTTCCACAATACTGTGCTGCTGTTTGTCTTTCTGATCAGTAAGATTGTCCTAGTGGTGGAGAGCGTGCTGGCAGCAGGGGTCCTTCAGAATGGTTGCTAGTTTCATTGTGATTAAGGCTGTGAGTGCTAAATCTGCTTAAATTATAGATCTAGAGATTTGGTGATCAGTCCGAGTTAATTGTTAATTTTGATATGGGTTTATTGATGTGTAAAAACAGTATGAATATATTCTGTACTCGTATTTGACATTTCACCATAACTGCTAATATCTTTCATGAAATGGCAGTAAATCTATGCTGTAGTATATAATTGAAAACAAGACTTCACGTGACCAGCGCCCCACTTTTTATATCAAGGATCTGGGAAAGGTGAAAATATTTTGGTAAGAATGTGATCCTTGCCAGAGATTGTTGAGGCTTTTCGCCATGTTGATTTTTATGGTGCCTGTGTGTAGGCAAACATCGGGAATTCATGTGAAGTCTCCACTTCTTGTCACACAAATCTTCAGATGCTTTTGTTGTCTAGATAACTTCCTAAGACTCAACCAAATGATGCAGGAATTAGATTAACTTTGAGTTGCAATCACTCAGCATTATCTGAGCTTTTGTGAACAAGAAACTGAAAAGCACTGACAGCGTAACTATGTAAGTATCTATGATTACGTGTGTATAGGTGTGTGCGTGGAATGTAAAAGATGTCCACGTGTCTGTATTTGCATACTGTGCAGGTAGTCATGTGTGTGTATGTGTGTGTGTGTGTGTGAACACATAATGTCCACGGACAGGTTTCCTCTAGGAGTGCAGCATGACATTCAACACTGATGCTGTCTGCTCTTTCGTCCTTGGAACAGTTCAGGTAACTATTCCTCAGTCTCCAAACTGGACATTGAGCTGTGTGCTACAAATTTCTGACAGCCACAACACAAGTGTTCTGAATAAAAACTATCTGAAAAAATCCTAGCTTACCGTGTTTTGAGTTATGTACTCACAAAAAGTAAATGCGTATGACTCAATCGCTTACGGGTGTGTCTTTACTTTCCTACGCCTCTGAATAAGGGATGCTCTCTAACTACGTTTTCTAAAGCTTGGAATGGATAGTTATGACTCTTCACTTCTTCACTAGCGATGTGGCAGAGGAAGCTTACATGCTCAAGTGGGTATATCAAAAACAGTTCCCTAGTGAGGAGAGCCGGCGATTGGTTTAATTTCCAAATATATACATATATTTAATTTTTTTCAATAAAGTTGTGTTTATTCTGAGTTCTACGTATTTCTGAGTGACCTCCTCCAGAGTACAGAAGTTTTCTGAGTTTCCATTTCTCTTTCTCCCAAGACTTCCAGACTCCCCCAAGTGGATATCAGAGAAATTTAGTCTGCTTCCTCTAAATAACCGACTTCATAATGAGCTTTAATCAGTCCGCATCAAGTATTTTCTAATTGAAGCATTACACAGAGAAAATTTTCTTTTAGATAAATCTCACACTCACCCGTTATACCCTATAATTTATAATTACTCACACGACTATGACCTCTCTTAGCAAGATTCCTCCCATTTCATCTTCTTTGAAAAAGTGAAATCAAACTGTCAGTCATTTAAGTGCCACAGTATGGCTTAGGAGGGGTGGGGTGGGGGTCATTGCTACACAAAATTCTCTATATAGGCCCCACAAACCGGACCATGTTGCAGCCTTGACCCACGCGTCAACAAGATGAAAACAGCTTGTATGGGTCTGCAGGCTGCTCTGGCACAGGGGCGGCAGAATGCCTGGAATCTGCTTTAACCAATTAAGCCTTTCAAGGCAAAAGGAAAATAAAGCCTTCAGTAAATCCATTGAAGGCACCGTCTCCCAACCTCCCAGGCCTGGTATCGATCTTTTTAAGTGCCGACTAATGAGTCCTACGGTAGTAGCGGATCTGTGGTGTGTCTCTGATGCGGTGCTCTCACTCCACGGCCTCTGAGGAGCTAAACTTACACAGAGAGCGGATCACCTGGGAGGGGTTGGGGTCGAAGCAGCCCTTGCCGATCGCCGCCCTGACCCCTTAAAACCCAGCCCCAACCCGTCTCCGCGGAGGGCAGGGGGCGGAGGGCGCAGACCCCGTTCCCCCACTTTCCGTGACAAGTGCGGTACGTTGCCTCCAGGAGCTTTGCCTTTCAGGTCGCTTCTAGGGCGAAGGCTTCTGCTTTTGTTCAGCGCCTCTCTTGCTTGGGAGCTCCTGGCAGCGGCTTCTCTTGCCGCAAAGCATCCTTTTTCCTCTCAGCTTTGGCAATTTAGGAAGAAGTGATGCTCCCAGGGGAGGTGGATGAGGGGAGAGCGCCAGGAATGGGAACACATCCATCAGGAGTCCCTGCGCCTCCCTTCCCTCCACTTCCACTCGCGGCGCCACCAATCCCCTCCCCCAGGCCCTCAGCACATAGCACTTGTGATGTGTGTAGCTGCGGGCGCGGGGGTGCGGGGGACTCGCCCTCGGTGCCAAAGAGGCATCAAAGCGCAGACTCCCGTAAGCCAAGCCCCGCGGCACCTGGCACCTGCCCCGATTCGCTGCTATTGGAAGCGGATGGCCCGGGTACTAAATTATTAATTTATTTCCCTTCCCTGCGCCCCCGCCCGCACCCCAGCCCGCAGGGCCGAAGCCGCGGTGGCGCTGCCCCCCTCCCGGCCCCCGCCCGCGCCCGCGCCCGCACCTCGCCCGAGTCTCGCACTCGTAACCGGCCGTCGCCTCCCGGCCTCCGGCGGCCGCGCCGCGCTCCCACTCGCGGCCAGGCTGGCGCGGCCGTGGGTCCCGGCGGCGGGGGAGGCGGGGGGGAGGTGGCGGGTGACAGATGCACTCCTCTGACAGCTCTCAGTATCAGCCCAGTGGCTCCCCGCCATTGGCTCGGTGCGCTGGACCGGCAACGCCGCGCGCTGTAATAACACTCATGCCTGCCAGCGGCGGCGGCTGCGAGCGCG